AAATGGTGAAGTTACAGATGTTCAGGATGGAGGTTGAAGATGAAGTCATATTCAGGACATAACTTGTGTTATGTATTTGTTGTTTTGTTTATGTTACCGGATGTACAGCCACCTCAGTGGCAAAGGTACCGTGCGTGTATGCTAAGGGTCTTGGGTTCAATACCCAGCGCTACCATTTGTGCATTTTTCTCACATCTTTCCTCTTTTTTATTTCAAACAGCAGCGCCTGGGACTCCACCTTTGGGACTTGCCTTTTTTGCTTCTTCTCACCCTTCCAGTTACTTTTACACACCTGACCCAAACCTTTTTTTATTTTTATTTAATTCCTTTTCTTTTATATTTTATATTTTATTTTATTTTTCTTTATATTTTTATTATTATTATTATTATTATTATTATTATTATTATTATTATTTTTATTAATAAAAAAATCCAAAAAATTTTAATTTTTTTACACTTATTTATTTTCTTTTCTTTATAAAGACAAAAAGACTAAAAAAAATTTCTTAATAAATTAATTTCTTTTTCTTAATTAATTAATATTAGATAATTAGGTTTAATCATTATTTTTATTTTCTTATTAAAATTAACTTAGAATTTAAGTTTCTTTTAGTTAATTAGTTACCATATTATTTTCATTAAGTTTAAAACCTTTTCATAAAAAACCCTAAAAATTACTTTTTAAACCTAATTTCTTTTCTTAATAAATTTAGGTTTAATTCTATTTGTCTTTAATCAATTATTTTCCCCTTTTAGTAATTAGGTTAAAACCCTTAACAAAAATCAAACAAAAAAATCATTTCTTTTTCCATTTATTTTCTTACATCATTTATTCAATTCTTGTACATTATTCAATATGGTTGTAATAGATAATTAGGTTTAATTTTCTTGCAAATCCCCATTTGTAAATTTGTACACCCCCTCTCGTATTGATGTAATAACATAGTAATTTTACTTCCTGCAATTTATCGCTTTAACATAAATGTTAGTAATTAGGGTTTGTATGGAAAGATAAAATCAACAAGTAGCAAACCCTAATTCAAGATAAACAATGCATGTAAATCAAACACACTTGCACGCTTACACCCTTAGGGTAATTTCACTTTGTTGCCTTACAAAAATGGCCATGTTATGCATGTGAGATGTCTTAGCAAAAAGCAATAAAAAATACAAGATCATAGTCCCTCGATGACGCTATAAATGTTGCCTTTCAAAATGATCTTAGTCCCTCAAAGAGAAATGCTAAGACATCTTACAATATTGATATCATGACTATACGATGACCCACACCCGTCCCTTTACATCCAAAGATAAGTCTTCTTACCAAATCAATGGTAAGGTTGCAATATCAAAGGAAAGGAAGAAATGAAAAAAGACTTTTGAGTAGGTAGATTGCTAGTTGCTTGCTCATTTTAAAAACAAACATCCTTGCTTATTTTCAAAACAAACACCAAACACTTTCAAAAACAGCTTCAAAACATTTTCCAAACATGAAACATTTTCTAAAGTCCAACACTTTGTATACGTTCTTACGAACGAGAACTATTACAAAGTTTGCCTAAACGAAGGCGCCTTTTCAAAATACTTTCAAAAACCACCACAAAGCACATTTTCAAACAAAATCAAGTGACCTAGCAAGAAACTAAGAGCCCATAGATAACTATGGATGAAAAGGGTGCTAACACCTTCCCTTTTCATAATCTACCCCCCGAACTAAAAAAATAATCTCAAAGGTATTTCCTGTTCTTTTCAGCCTTTCCTTTTGGATAAAAGAAAAGTCGGTGGTGACTCTTGCTAACCGCAACATTTGCGATAAAATACAAAACACCCAAGTCAGTTCTCTCACCGTATCACAGCGAACATAGTCAAAAGATACTACGCATAAAACTGACCCGCTAGGTTGACTGTCCTAGGCAAAAATAAGGGAATCCCGGCAAACTAAAAAGGGTTCGGGAATTAGAGATATACATGTAAAATATTATACAACCGACAAGTTGAAAACCTGAAAAGGCGGCTTGGGCAAGAAAGGGTATCTTGGTGGACTGAAAACCCGAAAGAGAGGTCCGAGAAAAAGTTAGGGATTAAAAGAGTATAATTGTGTCCCGTTGAATCACTTACTGCAAGCTTTATTACCAAGGTCAAAAGTTCAAATGGTACATATCAGCTCAATCAACTTCTTCTGACAGCAAGGGATGAGATGTTCAAAGACATAAGGGCAATAGCAAGGTTAGAACCCAACGAGATTATTTCCACATAGCTATATGTTTTGTTTTCACTTTGTATTCTTTTCATTTCACGATAATTTCCTCTTACTAGTGCAGCGGTAGAAATGTTGAGACTAAGCCATTGGATTGACTTAACTCGCACAAATCAAATAAAAATCATCACCGCGCTTTATCATTTCCAAAGGAATGGGAAAAGAGCGAATAACCCAAAAAGAAGGGGAGAGAATCTAAGTTCAGGGGTTGGTTATGTAAAGGGAAGGTATTAGAACCCTAAACATCTATGGTACTCTGCAAGAACCTCTTTGAAAATCTGTGTATTTTGGCTATAAATGTTGTATATAAAAATAGATGGTGGAGATGAGGAAAGAAGTATTTTTTATAATTTTTACACCCGCAGCAATTGCGAACCTTTAGTGCCTACGTACCACCTTCCATGCAATAGGGGATCAGGGTACTCATAGTTCACCTTTAAAATTTTTAAACACAAGTGTGTTGGTTAATTTTAAGAGATGAGGCATCATCATCTTATCCGAGTGGAAGAACATACTTACTACCCACGATTATGAGAAAGGAGAATTTGTGATATCTCAAGGTGGAGGATATAGTTTGGATGTTAAAATCAATAAAGCTTCACTCAACACTCAAGTGGAAAATATATCACTTCACTATATATAGTAGAAGTATAGTAGCTCGCATCACTACAAGGATTGACAAGAGTTTATCTTTTGAGAAAATTTTAAAGCAAAAAGCCAAAGTGGCAAAAATGGTTTGAATGATATTGATTGACTTTTAATCTTCTCACAAAAAATGTCAAAGTATTATTAAGTTGGTTAAAGTTGGATTAATAAAATATTTTAGAAAATGCATGGACCAAAGTCTGAGTTTATTGTGAAAGTGGTTCAAGTTTAAAAACAAGAAGAGTTTCCAAAGGAGGGAGGAGATTTTTGAAATTAAAGAAGATGGGAGGAGATGAAGGGACTATCCTAAAGCATAAGGTAAAAGCTAGGGAAAAGAACTGTCTAACCAACAAGGAGCCAATACTTGACATAATGAGTCAATGTAGAATTCCCATCCTTTAGATTGAAACCAAACAAGCAAGGATAATAAACCTCTTAAGAAAACCAAGCTTCAAACGCATTAAGTCTTCACAAAAATTGGGCATAGTAACGGCTGTATACAGATGAATTCCCAATTACAGCCAAAGCATATAATCAGAATAACCTGCACACAAAGAAAACAAACAACCCAATGTCTTGGAGTAAACCCCAAGAACTCCAGACAATGTTGCAATAGAAGTCACAAGTTCTCAAGATAGGTCAAGGTCTCTAAATCTAAGTCCAAGAAGTCCATAACTCCAAAATTCCAAGGATAGTAACCAAATAGTCTAAGTAACATTAAAGTTTTTTATGATTCAAGTTGATTATTAGGTATCTTCAAAAAGAAATGAAAAGCTCAAGTGAGCAAAATAAAAATGACATAAAAGTAAATGCTCAAGTGAGCAAATATGAAAATAGCATGAAATATAAATGCTAAAATAAATGGTGCATAAAAGTAAAGGCATAAAATAAAAGCATAAAGTAAAGGGCATAAAGTAAAAGTTAAATGTTAATGAATTAGTAATTAGTAGTTAGTTGAATGACCATCTTGAAACTTGCATTTGAAAACTCATTAGAAGATTGATAAAATCAAAGCCTCTCAATAACAAGTTTTATTTGCTTTTTGTCAAGTATATCATTCATTTCAAGTTCTCAATGTAACAACATATGATCAATAATGTTTAAATGATTCACATATCCCAAAGTTTATGAAGATTCATTAGAGAATATATAAGACAAAAGCCTTCTAACAATGCATCTCAAGGTTATTAGATCAAAGGTTTCAAATTAAACATCCTTGGGCTTGCAAACTAGGATTTGGACCACGAATGGTCATTTCTCGAATTGGGACAAAATTTAGCGCCATGTTAAGCAATCGTAAATGAACTTATATAAAAGTCGCACCTATTTTGAGGCCGGTCAATAGTAATCTATGTGTCATATGTTTGGAGAGATGATATGTAGATCATCCTCCAACAACATGTAACACAATAAGAAAAGGATGAGATGAAGAGGGAAGGGGTATATATGAAATAAAAATTTAATCAAACTATCATTAAAATCATTCATCCATTTTGGTGGAATTAAACTCAACACCCAAGATCAAAAATCAAATAGTTGGAATATATACAAAAATGAAATAGTATTTTAAATAAAAGAAAAAGGTTTTTAAAATGTTTTTTTAATGTGAAAATAAAGGGAAAAATAACAACTATATTCAAAACACCCAAGAAAAATTAAGTGAGACCATAGAAAAATCAGAAATGAACTCAAATATTTTTATAATTTTTTGGTAATCTTTTAAAGTCAGAAACTATTTTTAAACTAATTAAAACTATTCAAATAAGTGAAAAATGATTAAAAATAGTCAAAAATAAAATAAAATTCTATAAAAATTCCATAAAGTCAGAAATAAAGGAAAATGATTTTTATAAATTTTTTTCAGAATTATTGGGCTAAAAATGAATTTAAAATGAATTTTAGAAGATAAAATAAATTAAAATTAAAAATAGTAAAGAAATTTAAACCGGAATAACGTCAGCCCTTAGATCTGGTCAACTCAGGTGAAGTAATTGCTTCAAGATGTCCCCATTTAAGCATGGTAATACCGTGGTATGGCATACAGAGAATCATTTTCTAACATCCTTTTCTTTGATGGTGACAAGTGGCATCGGTGGCCACTTGTCCACGACAAGCTGACCGACAGCAATCTCGAGGCAGGGAGAGGAAGAAAAAAAAACAAATCAGTAAACAATGTTGTTACGTTATTAATAACACCCTTTCATTTTTTTATAATAATTGCTCTCACTCTCTTCTATGTTATACAACATCAATACTTGTTATGTTCATTAAAGCAAAAAAAAAGGAAACACAGAGTGAGGGAAGCACGACGGAGGAGGGAGATAATTTGCGCTGGTGCTCTGGCAGAGCTCCGGTGCGCCACCGTGGAACTTTAACTTTTAAAAACTTTTTTACATCAAAACATTAGTGATCTTCTCTTCTACTCAAATCTCAAGTTATTTTTCAAAAAAGAGTTACCGAAAGGTGGAGATCTAGAGAGAAAGTTCAAGAATTTTTTTGTTCTAAACAAAAGCAAATCAACACAGAAGTAGAAAATAAAGGATGTAATCGGTTTCAGAGCAAGATTCTCAACTTTTGAGAAGAAGGAGAGAGGAAGAACAACGGAAGAGGAAGAATTTTCCGGCGAGACAGAGTGAGTTCCAGTGCGGTTTTGGAGGTGATTCCGGTCCGAGTTTGGTTTTCCGGCGAGAACAAAGGGTTTAGGTCGGTTTCGGGTGAGATTGTTTTTATCGCTACTTCGAACTTTTTCTCTTCTCTTTCCCTGTAATCTGAATTTGTGATTTCTCAAAACAAAGAATTTCCGAAAGGTTTTCCTTTTTTGGAAAATGATGGTGAAATCGTTTTTTGTTTTTTCACTATGATGGTGAGGTTATGATGGTGAGGTGCGCGGTTTTTTTCTGATATTTGTGAAATGTTTTTTTAATGCAGTTGGTTCCCTTTATACTGTTAGAGAATTCTATTTTTTACGTGATATTAGGACTATGAGTTGATCTTCTGCAGGCTTCCTTGTGAATTTTCGTGGGCTTTGATTTTGTTGCTTCTGTTTTGTTATTTTAGGCTGGAGCTTGCGATTTTCTGTATTTTGTTATTTTGCTGCAGTTTATTATGTTGGGCTGTTTGTAATTCTGCTTTGGACCTTCTTTTGATTTTAACTTTTGTGAACCAACTTTGCTTGTGATTTGCAAAAGATATATTTAGGCCCATGATTAAATTGAAATCTGATTTGCTATGAAAAAATTTATGAGGCTTTAAATGTTTATTGCAATAATTTACTTGTTGGGATGTTGCGATTCTGACTTTGCTTTTACTTGCGATACCATGATAGTTGTTTCTGAACTTGTAGCAAATTTCCTTTTCAACTTCTATTATGAACCAAAACTTGGATTTGTGATTTGTAATAGAGGTCACGGGCCAATGATTGGACCACAATTCTGATTATTTGTCAAGAAAAAAAATATGAGGCCTTTTTGTTGGTTTTATGAACAATGTTGGATAATCCTTGATTCTGATTCCCTTTACAACCCTAATGATGAATTTGAAAAGAAACCTCTTTCTTTATGTTCAAGTGCTTATGTTCTTTATGATTTCTTACTAACAATTTTGTGTTTACTTTGCCTTGTTTCATGTGATGGCAACAATGGTGAGTGCATAAAGGATGAGATAACATGAATGATAAGGGTTTGAAGAAGAAGACAAACTGAGGCCAACGTGAAACTTGTGGCGTCGAAGAATTTACAAAGATGTAGACCATGAAGTGTACTTGCAGAAGCATGACTTAGGTCATATAATTTGTGTAAAACTGATGTAACCTTAAGCTTAGCATGGAAACTTGAATCACACCTTGTAGCATACAAAATTGTCATGTATGCATTCAACTTCTAACTTTTCCAACCAATTATGTAATTTTAAGTATTAGACCCTAAAACTTGTATTTCTCTTGGAGCATGAATGATATGCCTTGAACTTGAATGATTTTTTTTGTAAAATATGCTTGAAGTATTATCTTAAGAAAATTGAAATTGCTTTTTGCATTATATGACTTGAAACTTAGGCAATAAAGTCCCTTGAAATGATGTGATTGAAATTATGAGCGAACTTGATTTCTTTGTAAATTTGGAACTTGTATGAAAACTTGAATTCTTGTGATATTGAAGCTTGTATGAAGAAAAATGGATTCTTGAGAATGAAACTTGGAACGATGTCTTGAAAAACATGTTTGAAACTTTGATGAAATTTTTCTTGAAATTCCGAAGATGTTGAAGGTGTATGATGTCTCTTTTGAATTAATCTTGTCACACATGTGTTTAGGACATTTAATTCCAAATGAAAATTTCAAAACCAAAATGAATCCATGGTGTTGATCTCAAACAAGAAAAGTGTCAATTCTCTAGTTCAATTCTCACATCCGAATCGACTCTGAATTTGAAGCAACAAGAACAGATAACAAAGCTTCGATCACAAGGAAATCTCAAGTTCATGTAATGATTCAACATTTTGCAATCCAGTTCTTTATTAATGTATTCCACCTAAAGCATCAAATTCTTTGAAGAAAGTTCACGGTGCAATTTGAAATTGGGGGCCATAAAAATCTATAAAGTTCCAAAAGAAATCAAAGTCTTCTAAGCACAAATGACACTTGATCCTTAAAGAAAAATTGCAGACTTTATCCTTTTCTACAACCCCAGGCATTCTTAATCTCACATGGACTTGAAATAATGAAGTGTTGATTAAATCATGCTCACAACTGTCTAAACTTGAGACTATTCGTCAAAGAAGGCATGGAAATAAACTCATGAACCTATCTTGAAGAATTTCGAGAATTAAGCCAACAAACTCGCCTTAACCATGTCGAATGAAGCTTGAGGATAGTGTGACCTAAGATTATAGATCACCACTATGAAACATAGTCTTTTGGGAACCATCTTTGGCCTAAATAAAACACAACCCTAATCGAAGAATCATCACCCGAACTTCTTGATCGCAAACCCTGTATTACAAGAAACAAAATAAACAAAACATATTCTTGGATTTTGGTTAGAGGTCATTAGAATATAAAACACATATATACATGATACACAATTCAAAGTTCTTGGTGATCTCTCAAGAGCAAAATTAAAGATAAGACACCGTAGAAGAAGTAACCAAACCCTAATGCGTGATCTTGTTGCATTATGATGGTATGAGATTATAGAGGAATCTTAGGGGAAAAATCGAGGTACAATAACTGCCCTTATTTAAGTTTCTTCTATCCGGAGAAACGAAGGTTAAAATCCTCTTGTCGACGTGATTGAAGATACTTAAATATAAAACAAGCCCTTTTTTGGCCTTCAAAATTGGGAGTCCACTTACCCCTATAATCGGCATTAAAAGACATGATCTTCCTGAGCACGAGGTCGCCTTCTCTAAATTCACGAGGCTTGAACTTTTTATAAAAAGCTTTCTTCATTCTCCTTTGGTATAACTGGCCATGGCACAAGGCTGTCATTCTCTTTTCTTCAATCAAATTTAATTGGTCAAACCTGTTCTGGACCCATTCAACCTTTGACAACTTGGTTTCCATTATCACGCGTAAAAAGGGAATCTCAACCTCGATCAGGAGCACTGCTTCCATACCATAGTCCCTGTTGAAGTGCGGGTGAATTTACGATACCCATGCAAAGCAAAAGGGGGCATCTCATGCTAATCTTTATAAGTAACAACTATTTTCTGGATGATATTCTTGATGTTTTTATTAGCAGCTTCAACAACCCCATTCATCTTTGGCCTGTAAGGAGATGAATTATGATGGACAATCTTGAATTCTTCACAAAGTTCTGTCATCATCTTATTATTTAAATTCGAGCCATTGTCAGTGATAATCCTGCTTGGCACACCATATCAACATATAATATTGTTCTTGATAAAGCGTACTACCACCTGCTTAGTGACATTAGCATATGAACTTACTTCCACCCATTTCGTGAAGTAGTCTATTTCCACAAAGATAAAATGATGTCCATTTGACGCCTTTGATTCAATCATTCCAGTCATGTCAATACCCCACATAGAGAGAGGCCACGAGGAAGAAATAAAATTAAGAAGTGTAGGAGGCACATGCATTTTGTCAGCGTAAATTTGACACTTATGGCACTTCTTTGCAAATTTATAATAATCAGATTCCATTGCCAGCCAATAATAACCTGCCCTAAGCATCTTTTTTGCCGTCGAATGTCCATTGGCATGGGTACCAAAGGAACCTTCATGGATTTCATGCATCAACATGTCTGCTTCGTGTCTATCCACGCATCTGAGCAAAACCATGTCATAATTTCTTTTGTATAGCACACCTTCATAGAGGAAAAAGTTACCTGCCAACCTTCTCAATGTCTTTCTATCTTTATTTAATGCACCAGCCAGGTATTCCTGAGTCTGGAGAAAATGCTTGATATCATAATACCACAGTTTCTCATCTAACATTTCCTCTTCCGTAAACACATGAGTCATCTATCCAAGCGTCGCACTGTGATACGAGGCACATCATTCCAAGTACTTACTTAATACATAGAGTCCAAAATGGCCAACGCATCCGCCATTTGATTTTCATCTCTGGGAATATGATGGAATTCAACTTTATTAAAGAAAGGTAATAATCTACTAGCATAATATTTGTAAGAAATCAAGCCAAGGTGACGAGTATCTCATTCTCCTTTAATCTGATTTACTACCAAAGCTGAATCGCCATACACATCTGGAATTTTGATTCTGAGATCAATAGCCTCCTCGAGACCCATGATACAAACCTCATACTCTTCCATATTATTGGTACAATCAAAGGTCAGCCTTGCAGTAAAAGGAATATGTGATCCATGAGGAGTGATAATCACAACACCAATTCCTTTCCCATAAGCATTCGCAGCTCCATCAAATACCATACCCCACCGGGATTCAGGATCAGGACCTTCCCCAGGCAAAGGTTCATCACAATCTTTTGTTTTCAAAAACATAACATCCTCATCAGGGAAATCATATCTAACAGACTGATAATCATCAATCAGTTGGTGAGCAAGATAATCTGCCAACACGCTGCTTTTTATAGCCTTCTGAATATGGTATTCAATATCATATTCAGACAATAGCATCTGCCAACAGGAAATTCTCCCAGTGAGAGCAGGCTTCTCAAAAATATACTTAATTGGATTCATTTTGGAAATCAACCAAGTAGTATGATTCAACATATATTGCCACAACCGCTTTTCCGCCCAGGCCAGAGCACAACATGTTTTTTCCAGCATAGAATACCATGACTCACAGTCAGTAAACTTCTTGCTGAGATGATAAAAGGCATATTCCTTATTCCCTGTTTCATCTTGTTGTCCCAAAATACAACCCATAGAATTATCTAACAATGTAAGATACATGATCAATGGTCTTCCTTCAACAGGCGGGAGCAAGATTGGAGGTTCAAGAAGATACTCTTTAATAATTTCAAATTCCTTTTGGCAATCATCTGTCCACACACAACCTTGATCTTTCTTTAACAACTTAAAGGTCGGTTCACACGTTGCAGTCATATGGGAAATAAATCTGGAAATATAATTCAGACGCTCAAGGAAGCCTCTAACTTGCTTTTCAGTTCTTGGCGCTAGCATTTCTTGAATTTCCTTAACTTTATCAGGATCAACTTCAATTCCTTTTTGGCTGACAATGAAACCTAACAATTTTCCTGATCGAACACCAAAGGTGCATTTATTTGTATTCAAGCGGAGACGATACTTCCTCAAACGCTGAAATAATTTCAACAAATCTTTTATATGCCCTTCTTTAGTCTGGGATTTAGCAATCATATCATCAATATATACCCCAATTTCCTTGTGCACCAGATCATGGAATAGGGTTGTCATAGCCCTCTGGTACGTTGCACCAACGTTCTTCAACCCGAAGGGCATCACTCTGTAATAGAATGTTCCCCAGGGTGTGATAAACGTTGTTTTCCATGTCCTCAGGAGTCATTCTGATTTGATTACATATGGAAAATATGTCTATGAACAAGAATACTTTGAATTTTGTTATGCTATCAACCAACATATATATCAATATGCGGCAATGAAAAATCATCTTTTGGACTAGCTTTGTTTAAATCTCTATAATCAACGCACATGCGAATGTTTCTGTCTTTCTTTGGTACTGGGACAATATTGACAATACACTGAGGGTATAATGATGTCACAAGAAAACCAGCATTAATCTGCTTTAAAACTTCTTCTTTAATTTTCACTGACATATCTGGGTGAGTTCTTGCAATTTCTGCTTGATTGTCAGGCACTCTGGCTTTAGCGGCAAATGATGCTCCATAATATAAGTATCCAAACCAGGCATGTCTTGGTATGAACAAGCAAAGACGTCCACAAACTCTTTCAACAATTCAATCAACATGCTCTTTACATCAGGATGCAACAATGCTCCAATCTTAACTTCCTTTGGAACTTCCTATGAACCCAAATTGATTGTCTCCAGCGGCTCTTTATACGGTTGAATGGCACTTTCCTCACGCTCGAGAAACCATGAATCCTCTTCTGGAATTTCATCATATTCTTCTTCTTCGGCCATATACACAGGATATTCAAAGTTGGGAGAGGGTGCAGGGTCATTGTATTCAACATGTTTTTTAATTAATCTACACATATGATTTATGATTGCTTTTAGAAACTGACATTATAACAAGTGATTATGCAGATTTATTTACAGTTATTATTTATTTTGAAAGGTTTTTTTTATTACCATTTTCCAAGAAAAAACATAAAATAAAATCACAATTTGAGAATTAAAGACAACTTTTATTAATGATTTTAATGATCAAAGCAAAAGATATACCCGTACAATATCA